CCCTCCCCTACTGCGTTGTGAACTGATCGCGTGAGTACCTAACAACTTGTGTGGAGGCGGTTGCTGCGAACAACTCCTGTTAGCTTCCGGCAAAATAAAGCGCTTTACGAAAATTAGCAAGAGATTAGCGCCTTTTATGGAAACGCTTGCAGTGTTGGACGGTTGGATTGAACACTTTTGTTATATTTTAGATGATTTTCGATGGTTTTGGAAGAAATAGCCTTGACTGCGAAGGGAAAAAACATGTTTTTGTTTGTTTTGTTTTTAACTTGGAAACTTGTTACATGCTTGCTAATGCTATGCTTATATGTTCCTTAGCTTTTAGAGTCTACTTTGTTCGTTTTATAGTTGGTCTGAATATGCTTTTTTTTCCCTTCAAACTGCTTTTACCGCTAACCTCGAATATTATTTCCCTATCACTATTTTCCACGGATTTTTGGTCGATGCATTCTTTCTCATTCCCCTGGTTTCCATCCAGTTTGTTCGAAGTCTGCCAATGTTTGTTCTTTTCTCATAGAATGAAATTCATGGCTCAAATTACTGAAGTGCCATGTGTCTTGTAGTGACGAGTGCTGACACTGTAATCGACAAAGCTATAACAAAACAAAAATTACAAATAGAAAACTCTTGCTGACTAAAAGTGAGTCTTTCCCTTTTTTAAACTTTGTTTTGCCATATGCCAGGTTTCTCCAACTAAATGTTTAAACATGGCATGGGTCGCCACTGAGCTTTCATTAAAAAATCTCTTTGCCCCCCGGCTTGAACAGGTCGCGTGTTTGACAGAAAAACGGGTGGTGGTCGCTTCTAAGAATAACTCAAGGTCACGTTATTTAAAGTCCTCCTACGTTTCAGTCAAATTTAACTACTCGCCAACGACGAGAGCATTTAGACGCACGATTTTTTTTTCCACCAGGCTGAAATTGCCGATTCGAGATTCAATGTTGGAAGAAGGGTCTTCGTTTCGGAGCGTTTCTGCGCTGAAAATGCCGGGGAAGTGCCTCGAGAATCAAAACTCCCAGAAGAAACGAGATCCGTCGTGGTAAGTATATGATCTTAGAATAAATCAGTTCCTTTATTAATATATATAATAGCACCATTTATATACACTTTAGAATAACATCTTGACTATCGCACTAAAGGAGAATTAGCGCCAAGTGGCGCCGATGTCCTTAAAAAAAAATTGCTCGAGTCACAACATAAACTGTGATTAATCTTTTGAGTTTTACTGAAGCATGCGGCAGTTTTAATATCTAGAATTGTATCGAGAAGATTAGGTAGCCTATACAACGCTGACGGACCGTATGGTAGTCAAGCTTGCACCTAGACAAGTTTATTTCATCCAACAAACTATGCCTTCGATAGTCTAATACGAGAAAAAATTTCCTCGCCTGGCAAAGTAATTAGTTCCTTCGATCTAGCTGGTGCTAGACGCGATAAATGATGTAAACTTATTAACACTTTCTTGATCATACCATTGTCGTGCATCCAACTTCAGAATTTCTTTATTTCAACTCTGTTTTAGATTACGAAATTAAAAGAAGCAACTTCGATCAAAGGACTTTATTTTGTAACGGCAGGAAACACTGGCACTCCAGTGGTTTGATTGACAGGTTCCTAGCTTTAATATATATTCAAAAACGAAGCCGCCTCTTTTGTTCACATCAGAAGATACAAATAACCTAGATAGGTTTGGTATAAATCAATTGAAAAAGAAAAAAGTTAATCCTGAGACAAGAGTGAGAGAGCATTAAACTGTTAAATTGACCTCATGTGTGAAGAAAAAGATAGAAAAGTGAAAAACTGTATAGATCAGTTAGGAAATTAGCTGGAAGTATTATGTGGATTTTTTTTATAGGTTTGACTCGTGTCAAAACCTTGTTAAACCAAGCAATTGTGTCCAGACGTGGTCTAAACACAAGGCAATCATTAATATATAAAAAGTGACAAACGAGTGGGCAGGTTTAGGCTTCGTTTTAGACTTAAACAACACGAGAGCTCTGTCATCACCTGTTTTCACTCTTTGTTCATGGAAGTCAGTAAAATTCCTCCTTGGTTTTGGTGTTTCACGCACTCCGAGCCCTTCTCGCATTTGGAATTGCCAGTATCTTCCACAGTCAGTTTTCTTTTATCTAGAACGTTTGTGTATATCTGCGATATTACGGCAAAAAATTTAAACGTAATAAACGCTCTTTCCAGTGCCATTTATTTTTTGTTTGTGAATTTTTCAAAAATTATATTTATAGTTATATATTTCTTCTTTGTTTACCAAGCTGTGCAAATGTAGCTTTTTCTGTTTCAGCTAAAATGTGTGGTTGTCAATAAAAGACGTCATGTATGCATATGTTCCTAGACGCGCAGATTAATTAAAATAATAACTATTTTCGTTAAAAATTGTCATTGCTTGACACCCGTTTTTATAGTCTCCTTCTATCCTTCCATGAATTCAGCCCCTATTCACTGTAACATAGAATTCGTCTAAAGACTTGGCCAACCCTAAGGCCCGGTTCAGACGCGTACTTCACACGATCGTAATTCATTGAATTCGATTCGGCTCATGCATGTGGAGTACGGCGTCTGAACCGGGCCTAATTATATTAAAATTTCGTGATTTTTTTTTCCTATTTTAAGCCCCCTAGCCAAGTGGGGGCGCTCTGACTTAATAATTTGTAATTTGAAATGCCGATCTCCTTCCCCAACCATCACTTCTCAGAAGGTTTTGAAAAGAAATGAATTCAGGTTTTACAGGGTTTATGCAGTTTCGTTGAAAACTAGTAATGACAAATCACGAGAGCCCGTTAGAACCGGCCCTTGAATCACCTGGCTGCCCACGCTTATAAGGGACTTATAACTATAGACCTATAAGTTTGCTTCCAGCACAATCTTCTAAGAAGCTCTAAAGCCAAGCCTTTGTAGAAAGATGCATTACTCGGAGTAAAACAGTTCCAAAACTGACGTTATTATTCTCCCTAATGCATCTCACTGGTTCTGATACATTGTCATTCCCAAACACTTTCATTTTCTTTGGGAGAATTTGGCCAAAGAATTTTAGCCATAAGGGCTTATGAACAAAACTGATTTTGAAATCAACAGAGGCCATGAGAGTGAATTAATAACGAATCGTTTCAAAGCTACGCTGAATAATGATCCCGTAATGTCCCATGCCAGCCGAAATGCTTTATATGTATTTCATTATGGCGGCTTACTTTAAATTTTCTAAGAAAAGTTAGACACCTTTGGAACTCGTCATTTGCCGGCGGTTGGCGAGGATATAGCGCGATTTAGGTTTCGTTATCTCTCGGTTTCTGGCTTTTAACGGATATAGATGCGAGCTTGAACGAAGGCAAAGGTTTCCTCAGTGCCAAAAAGTAGCCACCGAACAACGGTGACACCGAAAATACGTTATTACAGTAGCTTATGCCCGCTTATGCCACTGCGTTCCAAATTAGGTGACAGGAAGAAAGATAACTAGACACGCGTGCAGACTGTTGATTAATCACGTTATAAAACAAATAATAACAGGTGAGGTTGAATTCCTTAGGGTGGACAATCATATGCAGACAGGAGCCCATGGGCTCCTGATCACACGTGGAAAAATGTCTTGCGCACGCGCATATTTACGGCGTTTGTCCAGCAACTATTGATATTGGCGATCACGTGCGACCGAAAAAAAAAAACTGAGCTAGGGGAGCTGGAGAGAGAAATACAAATGGGGAACGTTTTGTTTCATACGGCCATATTTTCCTTTTCTCAAGAGTTTGATTAATTTATTGAGCTATTCACGACAACAACAAACCGAAAGAAACCACTCGTTGTTTAGGCGTAACCTTGGCCTGTTGTATTTCGATTAACACGTTTGAAGTACAAGCAGACAGCTAGACTAGGCTGGCTTAGAATGGCAATGTGCAATTTATATGGACCAAGTTTTCTTAATTATAAATGCTTGAAATAATGATACATCCAGCCCCTGTATATTCGTAATATTACTACACCATTTAAGAGAAACTCAACTCAGAAACCAATTTCACTCTCTGCCTTTTGAAAAGGCAATATAAGTAACGTTTGATCATCGAGGTGCAGGGTGTGAGAAATGTTTGGCACTTTTCTAGCCAGACAATATAGCTAAAAAACACGTGAACAGCTCATTAGTTGCCCTCAAATCTCTTCATAAGACTCGGTTACGTAAGAACTGTTTGTCCTTGGTTAAATACAGAAAACCGGTTTTCTTAAGAATTGTCCTTGACAATCATGGAGACTAAGAACGGAAGCAGGAAAAAAAAACCTTGTCTGAAAATGACAAATTTTTAAAGCTCAATATTTAGAAGTAATTTTTCTCCCTTTTTCCTAAAAATGAGCTCGAGAGACCCTTAAGTTTATACTCCAACGATGAAAAGGCGTTCTTGCTAATTGCTTAAAAGTACCTTAGTACACGCCATTTCAAACCTGGCCCACTTCAATTCATCTACACAATGTGTAATTATATATTCAAGTCGCAATTCACGACGAAAACTGAAAAGCTTTCAGAAGGATTACCATATAAATATTCATTACCCAAGCCGACTTGACCAGAATTGGCGCCTCTTGCACGCAATGTAAAACTATGGTTAAAATCTTGGTATTTTGGTACTGTGACTCACACGGCAAATTTAATACAACCTTTGCGGAGATCTGAGTATTTTTGAGACTCCCAAAGTTGGTTTTTCAGCCGTAATGTTGCAAGAGTTACATCCTACCTATCGCTTAATTTTTGTGTCAATTGTTCACACTTGTCTGACAATATTCCAGGCCAGACACAGTCGTGCCACTATTGTTTTTCTTCATTTTATGCAGCTGTACTTTATGCCATGGAAATTAAGCGAGGCCAAAGTTTCGCGCTTTCCTCTTTTTCACGATCTGAAGAGCAAACCCTGCAAAAACACGATGTCTCGCAAAAAAAATATTCCTTCAAAGATTTTTATATCGGATACATTAGAGGAACAGTCGGTTATTCATCAATACATGTGACGGACTGATAACAAACTGGTTCAACGCGTGTTTTTTTTTCAAAACTGATATTACTCTTCGCAATGTTAGTTTTTCAGGACATTTCCTAATTTTCTTACAGTAAATTGTGCAAGTTACCAGGAATCGCAAAAAGAACTCCCTCCCCTAGAAAAACAAAAACAAAAACAAAAAGCAGTCTTTTCCGATCGTAAAAATTTATACTTCCCGAAAACTTGACTGCCACACCCTATTTTGCTGCAGTTTATAGTTAGCATTCATGGCCCTTTGCACCACAATAGAATTTTTTTTTCTTAATGTTAAGTACAGCCCCGTTCTAGTCAGAAGATCGGGTCATGGGCTCCTGGATCGTATATACTCCCCAACTCCCCTTTTTAAATTTGATCGGACATATAAAAGAGAAATTAGAAACCAATCAGTGCCTAAGTCTAAATTCGACTGGTTTTCTAATTGTTTCTTTTCCTGGAAGCTCTCGCCTCATTAGGAGTTTATGCGCGTGATTCTATTTCAATACTTGATGATTGCGTGAACTTTTATGTTGTGAGATGACATCGCATGACATTGTCCTTTCAGGTGTAAAAGAGAGTTAGAAAGTTCTTGGACAGCTCTTTCCTTCAATTATAATGCTAAGGGGTGTCTTAGTGTATAATCTGTACTTGGAACCTTACTCGGATCACTTTCTCTGGGCAAACAGATCACATATCCTTTAAAGAACTTTTTGTTCTTTGCGTGACGTGAGTTCAAGGTGGGCGTGACAAGATGATTTTTCCGGTGCGCATAAATCTTCCTGATGTGACTGTCCACATGAAATACTAGAACCACGTATCGTGTTCGCGATCTAAAATAAGATATATAAATTCCATTTGACTCAAAAATATCGAAATTTTCTTTTTCGTATCTTTTCAACACTCGCATTGATATTGCGCAAATGGAATAACACAACGGCAGCTCGTCAACTAAATCTCTACTGCCAGCATATATAAATAACAGAATGCACATGAATGAAGAAAGAAAATGGGCTGCTGTCAGTGTTTTTTTGTCTGTTATTGACTCAACACTTTCTTGTCAGTCACGTAACATAACCATTCTGAAGTGACGCTTTTGCCTAGACAAAAGGAACTACAAAACAAAGACAACCAACCTCTATAATAATGAAGTAGTACAATAAATGTGCCTCACAGCGTCTCGTGAGTTCTTCAAAGGAACACCATTCTGTAAGAATATAATTAGCATTGCGAATCACGTTTAAAACCCCAGTTGCCCGTCAAAATGATGAAATTTCACGGACGTTACAATGTAACCTTTTGTCTGGAAAAACAGCCTGGTTTGACAAAATCCAGAGTCGAATTTCGCGGTTGAGTGATTTGATGTGCGTTCAACCTTCAGCGTGACTAAAAACATGAAACACTGGTAGAACCAAAACACAATAGCGAACCACTCGTATGTGACGGGCTTTTCCTTTGCCTTGCTTTTCACATGCAAATTTTGAGGATTGTTATACCGGGCGACGAATTGTAAATATTGCATAAATTATCTGGGTCGTCTTAAAACAAACCAATTATCATGTCTGTTTCACGTGCCCAGCCAATCGCATCGTTTCTTTTATAACCCTAGCAGTTGCTGGCCTTGATCAATACCAGCTCCGTACAATGTGCATGTCAATCATTTTGCTGTGGGGTCGCGGAATCGGGTCCACTCAGCCCTTTATTAGAGATTTGTCAGGTTTTCTGGATTCTAAAGTCCTCTCAACTTAAAATTTTTCACGGTGATATACTCACCGAGACGGCATCTATCCGTGTGTAGCGAGTCGTGACTTGAACGAGCAAATTCGCACTGCTTTCATTACGTGAAATCATTTATAAGCTTCAATGGCTGGCCGCGCAGTGTCTCGCGAATTCACTATCGACAGTTTGAATTTTACGTTGTAGCAAAGGGAATAACAGTACTTTAGCCACCCTGGCGGACTCTGAATTCATGGATGTAAACGCGAACAGTAAGCTTAAACGGAAGAAGAAAACCCATGGGTTAGTATCGTGAGCTGTTTGTTGGTTGGTGTTTCGTGTCGGTGTGAGAATCGTGAGGTGGAAAACGCTCGATTGTCCGACTTGAGCCTGGACATGGTGTGATGTTTGTGTGGTGTATTCTCACCTAAAATTTGACCGTGGTTTCGGAAAGTGTGCTACTTGTATATATTTTATGGGACAGGACTCTTCAGAAATAAGATATTCATTGCTTAATCTTGTTTTTTTCAACCGTATTTTCAGGCCTGGGAACCCGTCGAAACGACATCGAGATCGACTTAACGCCGAGCTGGATAACCTGGCGAGGTTGCTGCCGTTCCCTGAGGAAATCGTCACGAAACTCGATAAAATTTCTATTCTCAGACTCACAGTGAGCTATTTGAGGGCCAAGAGTTTCTTCCAAGGTAATTAATGTTTTACATTTATTGTTGCCTCGATATGCCTGTTGGTTTACCTGTATCGCGAGTATTTTCTTTCTTTTCGAGACATTGTGGTGTTGGTTGCTACCATGAATTATTTTTCTTTCTCTTGTGTATTTAAATTTCACAAATTTCTCAACCCGGGAAATTGCGGAGTTCCTTGTATTTCATGACATTTGAAATTGATAGATTAACCTTAACTGGCAGAAGTACCGACGTAACTTTAGACGAAATGAAAAACTGATTTATGACGGATATTTTATGAGTCGTGTTAGCGAACACGACAGCCTTCCAACTGTTTATTAAACGTTGGACCATAAATTGTGTGGCTGCTTTCCAAACATAAACAGAATTTAGCGGAAGAGGATCTCCTTAAGCTTTCTGATTATTCCACAAGACTAGAGGGCAGAAAGGTCATCCGTGATTGTCTTATTATAAACCTTTTTCTGGGGTTGTGTAGTCTGTGGGGTTGTTAGGTCTTTCTGGATCTGCGAAAATCAGCGAGAAAGGGTTTAATTTATTATTTTCTGAAAGCTAGGATTTCCAGCTGCATCGAGTAAAGAAAGCATTGTTTGGATATGTGTCTGACAGAAAGTAGACTGCTTACATCCAAAGGGTCTTCTTTTTGGCAGATCTAAAATGAAAGCAGTGTTTATGTGTTTGCGCCATTGAAACGTACCTCTGGAAAATTCACGAACGTGACTCTAGTCAGGGTCGGAGTTGAGAGTGTCTAGTGGTTGGCTAAAGGGAAATTTTAGTCAAAACATTACAAGCAATGGCATTCAGGTTTTATTGAGTTAAATCAACGCTTGACAGTGATATCTGACAAATACAAGATCCTATCGTGTCTTCTTCAAACTAAAAGCTGTTGTCACTTTCCTTTCTCCTCGCCGTCGGCGAATCTTTGTTTTGCGGCCAGTGTCGACACATAGGCAGGTTTTAACATTCGAATTCTCCTTTTTTCGGTGGCTTTTTACACTATTTGATTTTAATACAACGTTATGAAAGGGCAAATAATAAAATCGGCTAAAAGCTATTGATAGATGTAGTTGTTTGTTTTTTGGCGCGACGGTACCAAGCGTTCTTGTTCAATCAAAGCCTTACAGCCTGTTTGGGTTCTCCCTCGCAAATTGATCTACCAAAATCTGTCTTGTTGAACCAGACACAATAGATGCATTCGCCTGGCTGCCAAGATCACAGAAAGTATTTTAGAAGGGTTTTTCAAATCCTGCGTGAGTATTAGAAAGCGGAGAATGCCCTGGTTGTGTTGATCGAGAATTTTCTGAATGCAAGCCTGGACGATTCAGACCTTTTACATTATAAAATGCATTTGATGTAAACCCTCGGTCACGCAGCCTACTAAAGAGAAATATTTATTAACCTAGCTCACGCAACGAGAATTTTCGAACAAGGGAAAATATAATTGTACTCCATGCTGTGCCTAGTTTTACTTCTTCATTCAAGACAACGAAATCTACAGGTTTTCAAAGCAAACCGGTCGACGTTGCGTGTCCGTCTAACAGAGGGAGATGATAAATGATAAATAGTCCTTTTTCTTTTAGCGATTCTCGGTTTTTGTTTGAGTGAAAGCATCACGATGGGATAGCTTTCTTTGTGGAATTCGTTACCCTTGACCTACACGACTCCTTTAGGTATAAAATTGTTTACTCTTTTGGTATTCAAACAATCGCTTCGTCTCCAAGTCAAGATTTAGTTCCTCGGCCGTAAACCGCGGGCGATAGTTAGTTTTATGGATTTTATTAGAAGATGCTACTATAAAATCCTTAAACTAAAGCGTTTTGATAGTTTTATGTAGGAGTGATACATGTAAATTGGTTCACTTATTCCACGAACAAGGGTGGCACTGATAGCTACAGATTACTCTTGCAAACGCCCAGATCAGAATGAATAATTTCTACCTTATTTATGCTCGTTTGTGGTATTCAATAAAGCCCGTTTTTTCCCAGTGTGCCACCTGACGTGCAAAATTATTAAGACGAGCGCTTGAAACATAGGACATAATTTTTACTCTCCATATGAAAGCAAATTTTAACCAACCCTCCTTAATCTATAAATATGGTACTCGGTAAACAATATTGTTCGCTTTAAGTTCGCATTTTTGCATATAAGTGTTTTTTACGTGGATTTTTCAGAAGCGCGTTTAATAAATTGTTTTAAGTGAAGCAATGGACGGACGTACTTTGTAGAGTAAGTCTCTTAATTTGTGGTTCGCTTACATTTCCACCCGTATGCTGGTAATTTCGCAGCAGACTGAAACGCAATCGCTATAATCTCGCTCGTGTCAGTGCTTGCGCTCAGCCATGGTGTTAGGATTCAGATGGCACACCTTTTTACTTTGTGACAATTTGGAAATTCGCTGTACATGTAAGACTTGTAGTCATGGAATGGGACATATAATTAAAGCAGAAACGACGAGTTTGAAATGAAAGGAGCCATATTTGCTAGCTGGTGAATCGTGTTGGAATTTCTGGAAGACACATGCATTACCTGACGGTACTGTACGACACGTACTTAAAGCAATTACCGCTTTGTTATTATGCGATACCGGAATTTAATAATTGGCAGCTGGAATTTAATGGTAGAGATTCGGAAAAAAAAAACATCAGCCTTGTAATATTAGATCGGTACAGTTGTGTCCTCGGCTATTTGTTAACCTTGTAAGATTTGCTGTGAAACTTTGCAAGTTTCAGTGCCCTTTTCACGCAACCAACCGTCTCATTTACAAGTGTAATCACTGTTTTCACGCCCCAAATGCCTAGAAAAATTTGAATATGAACAGAAAATTCATCTCTTCCCTATTTCTCGTTGTTTTAGAAGTTCCTTTATTTGACACGAGCTCTAGAAATGTCTTTGTGATAGTGAAACTAAATACTTGCACTTTGCGACTTCTGTCAATACGGTAAAGTGCTTGTTTACAGGCTTCGACAGTGTGGTGAAAGCTTTGATGAACTTATTCTCCGTGTTTGTTAAATTTACAGTTTCGAATGGCAGACATGGGAAAGAAGAAACTTGTGAGGAACTTGTCAGGGAAGTTGAGGGAAATGGTGTCTTCTCGCAGCTCTCTCTAGAGGTGAGGAGAAAAAATATAAATTGCTCTTGATGACTGGTCCTCTAGCTGCTTGTAGGTCTTGTAGGATGTCATTGTTAGGAAGTCAAACCTATGTAAAGTGCGTGTGACATGGTTTTGACTTGAAGCAAAATAACAATTTGTCAACAAGATGCAAATTGAAGGGAACCTAAAAATTATATAAGTAAGGTTAGAGAAACACAGAGGGTTATAGACACCTAGAATAAAGCTGATTGGGCAAGGCGGAAATGGAGGGCTAGTTTTTTAAAGGCCTACATGTATATACCGTACAACACTGAGGTTTAAGTTTCTTACAATGCTTTGAATTCTTTTGGATTATAAAGCCAATATGTAGGTATTTTATCTTTAAAAGCTGACCTTGGAGGGCTTGTGTTGCCCCACCCCTTTTCTCTCCCATCCTTATTACTTTAATTGCTTTTGACCTTCAGGGCAAGTTTGATTGTTTTTTAAAAAGTCTGAGATTGTCTAAACTAGATTTTTACAATTCCTTCAGGTTCTTTGTAGCTAATGAATATTGGTGTCCTAAAGAAATGACCACTGTTAATTTTTGTGACAATTTTTCAGTATCATTTTCATGACACTGTAGGAACCCTTTATCTTACAAACTGCTCAAGCAGTTTCTGTCCTTGTCAGTGACACCCTTGGGTAAGGTTTGCATCCTTGAACCACGTATGTGGTCTTAACCATAATGATCTTCACCACAGAATGGTGACCTCCGATGTGCTGCACATATAGGACTATTATATTTCTGATTTATGGATGCATATGCCAGGATAAACTTAAGATAAATTGCATTTTCATAAAAGTCCATGACATAAAATATTTTATGACTGTAAAGATTGCTCATTTAAACTTGTATATTCAAGAGGTGGCAGTGTTAACTGCTTAGAACATACTTGAGAGATGAAAGAGCTCTGATTGATAGGAATTGATACACAGGGGCGTAGCAACCATATACTCACCTATACACTTGTGTACCTTAGGAAATTCAGAAAAATTTATCTCTTCATATTGAAAGTGAATTCAGCTGGTTTGACAGTCTCCTTGTCTCTCCTATTAAATCCACCATCAATTATCCCAAAGGTCGACATAAATAAACATAGCTTACAAAATACTCAACGTTTTTCCATGTTTTGATTTATGAAACTGTTCTCTGGAAAATGTGGGAAATTGCATTTCTGAGCTCCTAAACACGAACATTTTCTGGGTAGCATGCTCCCAAACCTCACTAGCATCACTTAAATCTTATCTGTGGTGCATACTACATGGGAAATGAACACAACACCCCTTATTGAGTTTATCCCTATGTATTTACTTTCACTACCCCATGTGCAGGTTTATTTGTTGGTTCAGGAGTGTATTTATCAGAATCATCTGTTCTCTTTCCTTTTTTCAAGTAGGGTTAAAGGGAAGCATTATAGTGCAAGCGCTTGAATTCTTAGTGTACCAGATCCTTGCATTAATAGACATGTTATGTCTGCCAATATGTACAACTGGAGTCTTCATTGGATTGGGTGGAGTAATTGTTGACTTGCAATCCCTGAAGATATTCACTATGTAATAATCCAAGTAAACACTAAGTAAACCATTCTTCAACAATCACGACAACATTTCATTTATGGAAAACGCAAGTTAAATTAATGCAAAATCAAATGGTATCTTAACCAGTAATCCATACTAGGCTTAGAGTACTGTGTACTTAACTGTGTTTAAGGCCTGTGTGAAGTTACAGCTGGAAACCTTTCGCTGTGGAATTTTTGTTCTGTTCTGTGTATTAAAAAACAATCCCAGCCCACTTAAATGTGTGTAGACACATTTCAATTCTGTGTTTCAAATTTGACAGAAAGATTAATTGATTTTTTTCTCTGATAGAATTTGTATTCCCCCCAAAAAGAATCTCCCACTCAAGTTTCTCTTTTGACTGTTTTAAGAAAATTGACTTAGTCCAATCTAGATTTTTGTCATTTGATAACTTGTCCATATCATGGTAGCCAATTTAAGCCAAACACCTGTTACTTAAGACCATTTGTCGGAAGTATTATGCATGTCTGTGCACAGTTTACATGTACCGGTAATAGACCTTTTCAGTCTGGGTGGTTTGTTTTTCCATTGCAGACCATGTGGTATTCTCCATAGAATTGTTCTTTTAACCATTTAAAAATTGTTCATTCATACACATGAGACTACAGGTATTTGAAAATTTCGGTGCAAGAATTCTCGCGAGTACCACCACATTGTCTGCAACAGGGCAACAAACTGCCCAAGCTAAAAAGATCTTTTGTGTTATTTCAGATGGTTTAGAACCTGTCACTACCTGAAGTTCTACTTGTGATGTATATGTTCTTTAGGACACTTTTGTAGTGCTTGTTTCCCATGGGAAAAAAAAAACATTTTGTGCCATGACCATCTTAGTTTATATCAACTAGGTTAATTGTGAGCAAGGAGTAGTTTTTGGAGTCTTTCCTTTTTCACTTTGGGTAAAATGTACTGGTGTTTGTACTTCGTTTACATTTAAATGAAAAGTTATTTACTACTGGTACTGAAACTTAACCCATGAGGTTAAAATGGGATAATACGTTTATTTTTACTCTCCCTGCCATTTTCCTTTCTATTTTAATTTCCTAAATCAACATATTNAAATTGTTTTTGGCAGTTAACTAATGGTATTCAATTCTAAGAATAAAATTTTGTGTAATTCATTTTACTGAGTGTCATTTTGTGGTTGTAGGCTGCTGTCATTCACCAAAGCATGTTCAAGTTTTTACATATTGATGACCAGGATATGGTAAAATCCAATCTGGCCTGGCCAAAGCTTAATGGCAAAAAGATTAAAATGGTAAGTGGACAATGTATAATGCGGTGCTAACTTTAAGTTTGATGAACTTACTTAAAGTATTGTTTACCTCTGGGTGTTTCCTTTGTTGCCATGTTCATTGTCATTGTTATTGGGATTATGATCTCTGTCATCATCAATACACTCAACTCTCATTTTAGCAGACACTCTCAGTACCATCATCTGTTGTGTGTATTGGTGAGAGTCCTCAATAGCGAGGTGTGATGAAAATGACTGAAGTTTTGGTTGTGGAGTGTCACGTACAACATATACTGCTATACTCTTTTAAGATTTCCAGTTTTCTTTAAATTTGTAGTTCACGTTTACTCTACATGATCGTGTCATATAGATCAAAATAAGGTATAAACTAGTGAAGATTTGAAGACTGCAGAATATTTATGTCACTCAATAAGTCCAAGTTTGGAACCACACAAAGTGCCCGCAATTCCGTAATAGCGAGAGTCCATAATAGTGGGAGTTGTTTCCATGCATTTCTTTGTCAAGTTTTGGCTGGTGATGTAACTTTTGTCCATAATAGTGGGATGTCTGCAGGGCAAGAGTTGACTATACTTTGTAATCAGTATGGCAAACATTTTAGTGGTCATCACAATTTGGTCAATTCTGTCAGCAGTGGATGCAAAATTGATGATTATTGTGTGGCAACATATTTATTTTGTTTTCATGAATGAATTTAAAAGAAAAAAGTTTGAATGTGTCATCTGGTCTTGAAACCTCTTTCCATAACATTAATTTTGATGAAGTTTTTTTTTTTTCAAATTTCAGAGAAGTGAAGAAAAAGATGGTGAAGTATCAAGTGATGATATAAAAACAGGTGACTGTCTTAGAAATAAAATTAAGCAAGTTAGTTTTTTTTAATCTAAAAGAAGCCTCTATTATCACAAACATGGCCATTCATGTCATTGTATCTACATGTAAACACTTGCATATATTTTATGAGTTTTCTTGTGTATATTTTGCACCTTTAAGTCCTGTAGATTTCCCTACTTAATGCATACTACATAATTTCCAGTGGTGAGGGCAAGTTAGGGCTTGGGTATTCTAGACTTAGTGTTTGGTTCACAATTTTTAGAAACATCTTGGTACAGCATGGAATTTATTTATATTTTTTGTTTTTCCTTAACTGTGATTATTGATATTGATCATTTTTGCTGGACTCAAAGGACCAAGGCTGGAGTTTTAGAGTACCATAAATTTTCAATATTGCATCTAGGGTTAGTTTTACATGGCAATATCTATTAATATATGGTTATTTCATTTATTTCCTTCTACATTTTTGTGAAGGTTCAGATGACAATGACAGTCTTAACCGTTCATTTACCTGTCGCATGAAGTGCACTCTGAATCATGGTGGTGGATTTTACAAGGTAATTATTGCTCTGGTTGTTACTTGTATGCTTTTTATTTGAAGGTCATTGTATTTTATGTAATGCTGTTTAGTTTTGGGAGAGTATTTCTGCTGTGATATTTAAAACATTTTTTGGGGTTGAACTATTTTATAGTAGAAGAATGTCAAATGAATGATTCATTAATTTCTTTCCTCTTTGCAGCTATTCAGATTATCTGGCCGTCTGAGAGAAATCCACACTCGCAAGCGAGACAGCCAAGTTGTTGAGTATGGCATTTTTGCTATTTGCTCACCAGCAAGCAGTACACATTCACACCATGCAGCATCAAGCATTAAAAAAGAGGTTGCCCTGACTGCTCAGAAGAGACTGGAGAGATCCAACAGTGAACCAGTTTGTGTCAGGTATAAAGCTTGTGTTGCAACAATATCAATTTATTTAAAACTTGTTGTCATGTAGTATTAGGTTGCCTGGTGAATTATCTCATAGCATTTGCCAGTTGCAACCTATTTCATAAGCCCTGGTCTGGGCTTGCTGTTTCTCCTTACACTTGCAAACTGTTGGGTACTGACCCTTAGGGCCCTTGGCAAGTAGTGATGGCATTTCATGGTTGTTAGCAAATCCCAACTTACAGTAGTGACACTCTTAATGAAGTGATGGCATCTCATGGTTGTTGACAAATCCCAAAGGCTGTGACACTCAGTCAATAGCAACCATCTGTTGTAACAAACAAGTTCTGTATATTTTCTCAAGAAGGATGGCCCACTTAGTATGCATATTAGCTATTTGGGGTTGTGGCTCCCCAAAAGTGGTGACTCTCCCTCCCCTTAAGCAGTAGAAAAAGGTTGTTAAATCTGAAGTAACTAACTTTGCTTATGATCACAAGTATCAAATTGGAAAAAAATATGTATTTACATTGGTTTGTTTCTTTTTCTTGTTGTGGTAATTAGGAGAACTGGCTTGCCTTTGACGGGCATGTTGCATTCTATGCCCATCAACCGTCATTTCTCAGTGGCTGACACTCGCTCTGCTGCTGTCAGTCCTTTAGAATCTCCTACAACATCCACTGACTCGGGTCACCCATCCCCTGATTCCAGTCAAGGGGGAAAGATGTTATTGACAGACTCGGACATACGAAGTGACAGCAGTGAAGTTTCTCCGCCATCAAGCAGCAACTCCCAAGATGTTGATGGGAGGCTGCTAGCTTCTGATCGACTAATGTCTGCCATCAACAACCCATTCATGAATGTCCATGGGATTGATCGCAAAAGAGCGGCCCATTTCATGGAGTCCAGGAGAACTGATGATAAAGACCCAACAAAGAAGCGGTCTCGCAGTTTAGCTGATGCCAGTGAGCTATTCTTAAGAGATGGTACAGATCCCAGATCCTTGTTCTTCCGAAATAACCTACCCTCTATTCCTGAAGTTAAAGTGGAAAATGGCAAGAAAAGCGAGGAGTGTTCACATGACATGCCCATTAGAAGGCCACTGAACAACCCTGACAGCAGGTTAGATGCTGCTCAGGGCCTTGTGAATCTCGGCAACATGGCTTCCCAGTTTCCTGGGCTTTGTGCCTTTCCTCCTGAGTTTATGTATCCTGATGTCATGTTTCCACGTGTTGATATGCTCCATGATCTGCAGCACCTCAGAAATCCATTTGACATCCACAATGCATGCTGCTTTGGAAGTGACCCATACACCGCTGCCTTGGCTATGAGGCGATGGCTAAGTAATCCAGACATGTTCCGTTCTCAATTGAATCCACTCTTAGCAGCTCAAGCAGGCCTTCTGACCCCAGCTGAGAGGCTACGCTTCTTAAAGTTTCCATTTGGCTACCTGTCACCATTCCCCAGTCCATCTCCATTCGATCTTGGAACTGCAGCGGCTGCTGCTGCAGGGCTTACAGAGAGGAACCTACCTGAGTACTCCTTGAGGAGCCTCTACCAGAATGGTCTGGGTCCTGACATGGCCAGGAGTAATGCGTCAAAAGAAGCAGAACAGTGGCATTCTCCATCCACAGAGAAACAGGTTATGGATGGCAGCAGCTCACCAGTAAGCAAGAGAAAAAGCCCTGAGCGTGGTCTATCAGCCAAGAAGGATCTAGTCCACAACAGTACTGAGAAAGAGTCAGACAATGCTAAGGAGGAGTTATTTGAAGAAAAGAAAAAGTTGGCAAAGGCTAGTAGCACTTCAGAGGATGAGGATGATGAAGAAGAAAAAGTGGATGTGGTGGGTGGAGTCAAGCCAGCATCTGGGCTGCGTCAGACATTTGTTGGAATTCAGGAAGAGTTCAATAGCCGACTGGAAAACTTAAACATGTCATTTGCCAGATCCTTGGATCAAAACATGACTTGTCCTTAAACAGAGTAAGTCTAAAGGGTCGATTTAGATGCTTACAAATATGATTGCTGTGTGGGTCATGTTTATGGTATTACGTGTGTTTAATTTACAGGCATGCATGTTTTTTTCGTGACAGCCATAAACAGCTTGTGTCGTTGACATGTTTTTAGCATGTCCCATGCAACTTGTAAGCAAAAGGTTGTACTAAATCGGCCCTGAAGTGTTTGACATAATGAAATGCTGCACTGTAGGTGTCAAGAGAGATCTTTGGGTCAACTTTTGTTAGACTTTACATGAAGTACTTGGTTCAATTTTGACCTTGAGTTAAGAACTAAAACTTCTCCTCCTTAACCCCAAAATGAGAAGAAATGGGGTATTTTCACTACACCAGTTTCTCTTGAAAGATATCCTTCAACCAGTTTACATTGGTGTCAATCTATCTGTCTGCCCATCTGGCCATCTGTCTGTTTTCTGATCTTGTTCTTGTATACATGTGCCTAATGACATAGCAAAAGCAGTCAAAGCCATTTTGCAATTTAAGACCCAGAGATCTTTCTTACTCCTTTAGGAGGCATTTGCTTTTTTGAACTTGTCTCATGGTCACATTTTTATGATTTTGTTTGTGATCAGAAAAGTAGTTTGATTTCATGCAAGTAGATGAACAGAAGCAGTGAGTGTTAGCAAGCAGAGCACATGAGATTTTCCTTGCAACATAATGTGGCAATGTTAGATCTGTAGGTTTAAGGATTACATGTTTGAAATCAAGGCCTGTTTGGGAGGCCTTGTGCTTCGCAGAAATTATGATTGAGTGGTTCGGTGATTGGGAATCTCTGTGACAAGTCACAGAAATGTATTGGGAATACATGTTTCTGCTCAAATGAGTGTATACTTTAAATACGATTAGTAGCTGTTAGGCTAGTAGATCAGGGATTTAATAAATACCCATTCAGTAGATCTGGGTTTGGCCCCGCCTTGCTGATTAGGGCGTGGCAGACATACCACATGTACTTCTTAGCTTAGGTCCCAGGTCATCTTTGGATGCATCGTCTGCAAAGTACTGGGTACCAAGGCACATATTCTGCATTGCTCAGGCAGTGCATTGGGATCAAATGGTGGAAAGTATCAGAAAAAAGTTCACTGGTAAACTGAATATGTTGACCAAGGAATTTTGACTGGCATGTGCCTCTAAATTTTACAATAGAAAAAGACTCTGGTCAGAGATCGTTGGGAATAAATGTTGGGAATAAATGTTGGAAAAGTGAATCAACCGACTTAGGTCTGTTTTGGGGGAAAATGATTTAAATTCCCATTAAACCACTTGTACTTCTTAATATGACAGCAATGATTGTTGCTGGCTACCAATCAGAGTGACCAATGAATTCACTAAAGATTGCAATACCCCAATGAACAATTAAAATTGTTCAATATATCAATATTTCATGCTCCAGTTGTCTACCAGCTCCTACCTATTGTAAGAAAAAAAATTCATTGCCCGACATAGCGGGCTCAGTTTTAAAGAAAACTTGCTGCTTTTGCTTGTTTTGTTATTTTTGTTACTAATCCAAATTTATCGGCCCTTGTGAAAAACCACTGTTATCTTCATGGTAATTTGTGGCCTGATAATGGGATGATTTTTGTTAAGAGCATGGAACATTGGGTCATCTTTTGTAATGAGTTAGTTTTGTTGCAGTTGTTTTAGAATGCAGCATTTTCACTACAGCCGCGATATATACATGTACAGAGCAGAGCCCTGTGTTTATTCAAAGTAGCTTTCATACTTACTAAAATATAGCTAGTGTTAATAAGTAATCTGGCATTTTGTCATTTTGTTTTGCGTGATCATGTACAGTATATTATGCAGTATTCATTTACAAGTTGTGGAGCTCATAGTTAGATTTTAAAGCTCCAATGAAAGCCTTTTCTTGCAAAAACAGTTAGCAGGTGTAGCTTACTTAGAGAAGTACATTCCAGCGAGAAATCAATATGTAATTGTAACAATCAATCAGGGAAAATCTTGAGACCAACACAAAATTACATTCACGATTTCTCTGCTGAACTGTACAATGCAGTCTTCATTATTACTCATTGTATGATAAGTATAATTGTATTCATAGCAATTTTGAAGGTGAGGCCTACTTGTTGCTGATGTAATTACCTCCAAAAGTAGTGATTGTTTTGACCTCGCCTAAGCGGAAGTCCTATCCAGTTTCTCAAGCAACCAATCGCAGAATGCGTAAACGAGCGCGAAACGCGTTTGAAACGCGTGTAAAACGCGGTCGCTGTTGTACGATTCTGTAAATTTACTCTTTTCCAGATTTCTTTAGTTAGGCTTGTAAACAGGTTGCAATTCGGATATTTTGTTTTTGATATAATTACTCCAGCATTGATTTTTGGGGACTTCTGGACATATCCTCATGTTATTTAGGTATGGTCTTGTGGAATATTTTTTTGATTGCTTGTTATAGGTATACATGTAGAAGTCCTTCCTTTTGCTCACTGGCTAGCTATGTCTTAGCAGGGTTCCTTTCTTTAGTGTTATTTTCAAGAACGTTTAGTTTGTTATTTGTAGCCTTTTCGTAATATTTTCTTGTTGTTGTTGTCTTTGATGTAGGCAGGATTTCCCTTTATTGAAGTATAAGGGATGGTTTTTCAGTATCACTTTTTGCTCCTGCCTTAGTGTATTTTATCCATCTTTTTGTGATGGTGTGCTGACTGTTTTTTTTTTTTGGCCTTGAAGATGAGATGGTTATGATGTAAGCACCTTGAGCAGAAGGGAGGAACGTCAATATATTTTTTAGCAGATTTAGGAAGCGGGCTGCTATATAAAGCCGAGCTGTTGTTTTAATGAGATATGTACACCACCTAGTGGTCAATCAAGTTTTGAGATTAAAAAAAAAAGACATTTATAGTATAGAGTATCAATATCGAATGCAGAATACGGACGACCTTGTAGTGTGTAAGATTCCTCAGTAAAATATATATCCATATGTATCTTCATTTACCTTATGTTTAGAAAGGGTAGACACTATTGTATGTGGTGAATAAAGCTTTTAGCGCTTGTAACTGGTATGGCTTACTCTTGACTTCTTCCTAGAGGGAATCTCATCTCTGCAGTGGCCTTCTATCTGGCAGTGCGGAGGCTGGGGAGAGGGTTATGGAACTTTTCGCGCCCGCCCTCTCCCTTTCTTTTGCACCTCTTTCTCTCTTTCGCCCTCCCTGCCCGCTCCCCCTTTCCCCTTCACGCATCTGGAGAATTTTTGCCACCGAAGTTGGGAGCAGATACTCGAAAACCTGTTATTGAGGTTGAGTCCGCTGTCAAATATGCAAACCAAACTTGATCCTTCCTGCTGGCGCTTTTTAGGCTCGTCACGCAATCTTATTGTGGAGGAGGAACGCGTGACGAGTCCAACGAAGGACAGTTATGACAATAGGTGATAACAGCTACGCTGATAAGAGCTCTTGTTTTAGAGCAATTCTAACTTTTCTTTCATATTTCGGAATGTTTTCTAAATTACTCGTGATATTCGATTTTTTTTCAAATTGCACTCCCCTGACTGGCGGAACTATCGTGTATCACTCCAGTAAATCCTTGATTGCACCTGCATTCATAGTAACACCTGTACTTGTAGGCCAGTTTTGATATATTAAAATTTATCTGATGTTTAGGTGAATAACAAAAAAGAATTGATTTTCTTGTTTTAATCCCGTTAGCTTCGAACCCAAGTTAGAAATTGAATGTATTATAATAGGTCTATTAACAGATGTTTTGTCATGGTCATGGTCATGGTCATGGTCATGGTCATGGTCATGGTCATGGTCATGGTCATGGTCATGGTCATGGTCATGGTTATTATTATTATTATTATTATTATTATTATTATTATTATTATTATTATTATTATTATTATTATTATGATCATCATCATTCTGTTTCTGCATTTTTGCCTGATATTTACATTTCCTTTTCCGTTCTTCAGTATTCATGTCGAGTCCAGTTCATGCATTTCGTTGGCATGCGCTAAACATCGCTTGCGCACAAGGCCTTGGAGCCTGGTGCACCGATCACCAAAACGGGTTCTGGGAATAAAGCCCTCCAGGCAAAGTCAAGACAACGCATTTATGATGATTTTTCTTCTCGCGAGTGCCTCACCCATGTCTCGATTGAAGGGAGGGGCTGGAAAGTTAAAGTTTGTCTCAGCACTGAGCTTGCCTACTGAGCCCACTAGG